TTTTTCTTTTTTATTGAAAAAAGTGTAAGAGTAAGAGTGAGAATGAACGAGAGAGAGGGCTTAATATTCATGGAAAAATTTATAAGAATTAATTCTCAATTTCGTAAACAAGACATTTTCCCTGTAAGAAAGTCCGTCTTCTTTGTCTTCTTCTGGTATTTTCGATTGCTAGTGATCTGATAAATTTAATGTATCTTACTTAAGGTAGTTAACTACAGTGCTTAACTTTACTTTCTCTCTCTCCGGGAAAATTAAATAATTAATGTAAAAAGAAGAAGAAAGATAGACAAGACGTTGAAGAAGATTAAGTAAAAAATCGTAAAAAAGTTCTCAAAATTGATCGGATAATCAATCGTAGATATATAAACACGGGAAGAGTCTGTGATTAATCCGGGCCCAATCCACCAATTAAACAAGATCAGTAAATTTCATGTCAAGCCGACTGATAGGCGGCGAATGTAAGAAATACATTGGGTCCCAGAAATGCGCTCGAAAGTCACAAATTTTCAATGTCCATGTTTGCTGAGCAATGATTAGTTTGAACAGCTCTAGGAATTACACCTGGAATTAATGATGGCACTCAAAAGATATCTCATCCCCAGCTAACGTTTCGAATGCATTGAAAAGATAAAAACCGAATTGAAGGACGTAATCGAGACCAATTCGGTAAAAACCTTTGGCTTGTTTCAAGCATTGGAAGAAACGTTAGCATAAGTGCATTGCAGTACGCATGTAAGAACGCAGCTAAATGTATTTTTCATTTCGCTGCCTCCGTTTCAACCCCAAACTAATTATAAAGCTTAAGCAAAAATGCTTACGCATACATCGCGCCTCGCTTCTCTTAAGGCGCTTTTTGCCATATAGCTCGATTAGACGATTTCGTCTCGCAAATGATAACAACGTAGCCAACTTATTAAATCGCGGAAGTAACTGCAGGCAGCCCTCGTATAACACGGTACTTGTAAAGATACACGTATAACACGGTACTTCAAACCGAGACGGTTTGGTCCTAATTTCAGGTTTCCAGTAAAAATTAAATAAAGTATAGTCTGGCAACACCGAGTACTGAATTCCCCCACCCCAAAAATTCTTTTATATATTTTCACGATAATATACTAAAACTTGCTTAAACTTCTTTTTCGGGTAGCGACATACTTTTCATGGGAGACGCTTGCACGTTTGCAATCCCAAATTTGACGGATTTTATTTTCCATGTCAAAGATCTTATCATAGTTCGTTTATTTTCTCTGCCGCAATATAAGGGGTTTTTATGGCATTTTTTTCGAATTTTTCCCTTTTTCCCAATCACCCTACGTGGCAATTTTTATCGTTATCTGTCTGTCTTGAGGTTTAACAGAGAGCAAAAGTCTACCAAACGGGGATATTTTCAGTTTATGTCGTCGGCGAGCTTTTTGCGCTATTTCAGTGCTTGCGGTCTTGTATGGGCGAAGAGACGGGCATGACTAAATCGATTTAGATTTTAATGCCGGTTATGTATATACTTTCGAAAGCTTTCGAAATCAATTTCTGGATATTGCCAACGTATTATTTCTAATATGACGAATCGTTCAGGCAGGCAGGCAGGCAGGCAGGCAGGAAGGAAGAAAGATGTATAAAAAGAGAAATAGATAGGGGATGGAATATGGCTGCATGCCACTAAATTGACAAGTGTTATGCCGTTGCCAACTGAGTACTTAAAATATCTACGACCGAGTATGGTCAGATCGCATTGAGATTTAACCTTCACAATCCAGCCATGCCGAGTTTTGTATGATTTGGAAACAATAGGAAGGATTCTGCTTCTGATCGAAGGGATTGAATGAGTGCCCTGGAGGGCACAATAGCACAATATTTGCTATGCCATTATCAAAAATACCGGGCCATTGCACAAGATTGCTTTAATTATCGTACACGCAAGTGTCCCCTCGGTTTAGAATTGATAACGAAGTAAAAGTATTTTCACGAACTCTTCGCACGTGAATCGACCATTCAAGATGTGTAACAAAACGAATACAATTTCCTTACATATTATAGTCAATAAGGTTACAGTTAATCTATTTTATTCGCTCGTTTATCATTATATATGAGTTTAAGTATAAGTAACGACCGACAACAACTACATTAAATTACTTAAATGAGTTTGCCTTGTAAGGAGATTGAAAGTGCTTTTGAAAAAAATTTACTTACATTAGTGCAAATACTTATCGAATTCTTGTCAGTGAAAATTTAACAAGAAAGAGAAAATTAATTTATGAATTATACGGAATCAGTATTAAAGGTACAGTTATTCTGTTTAATTGGCTTAGTGCAATTATTATATAAACCTACGTTTTGTGAAATCTTTTTATAGAAAAGAAATTTCTTTAAAGAAATTTTTGAGGAAAATACTTATGCAACTAATAGTTAAAATACCGTACGATAGACTGACTAGCATTCAATACGCATTTGGGAAATAATTGAAAAATAATTTCTCTCTTTATTCTAAATTTGGAAATCAAAATAAATTGATTTAATATAAAACAAAAAATTAATACAAAAAAAAAAAAAAAAAGAAGAAAATAAATAAATAAATAAAAGTAAAATCAACTATGCAACGTATCTCCGTAGCGCAGCGTTTTATCAAGTAGAGAGTGCACGTAATCACCATAAATAAAGAAAAGAAATGAAAAAAATTTAATTACATCACACCAGGAACACAAGCAACATTTCATTATACTCCAGATTACATTCAAAACTAAAGCTAAAATAAAGCAAAACACAAGTGAAAAGAGCAAGAAAAAAAAAACATGAATCTTATGGCGAATTTTGTTTACCCATCCCAGCCAAAATCTCATGACAAGTGCTCGTGCACTTAAGTTAGCCGTACCGAAATTAAGAGATTAAAGAAAAAAAAAAAAAAAAAAAAAACGAAAAAAGATAAGAATGAGAAATTCTATAACTGATCTCTAGATCCGATCGACGGACTTATTGTAATTTTTTGCAAAATCATTTGATATCTTTTTTCTTACAATCTGGAAGTTTTTAGACGGATTTGGCCCGCTACAGCAAAGCAGCTAAGAGAATCCATTAAACAATGATCACTTGTTACCGAAAATAGATTTAGATTTAAATGCGTTTCGTTTGAAATCACACAAGTCAGGAAAACAGAATTTATATAACCGGATGTTACAAACGGAATGATATAATCAATAAAGTCTTATCTGTCGGTGATTAAAACAAAAAAAAAAAAAAAAAAAA